CTCAAGAAGGCTGACTCAGTGTCCTGGGGCAAACTGGAAGACCCAAACTACAAACCTGAGGTAGAGCCAGTTGAAGATCCCCTCACTGTAACCAATGAACCTGTCCAACCCACCTGGTACATAGCAGATGATGACATCAGTGACTCTGATGAAGAGTGGGCCTATGACACACCACAGAACAAAAACATCCAGAAAAAGAAATCTGAGGAAGACAAGCAGAACCTCAAGAGAAAGGAGGTGGAACAGGAGATGAAGGCAGCAATGGAGGAGAGAAGAAAGCAAGAAGAACAGAGGACACAAGAGGAAGAATTTGAAGACATGCCAGAGCTTGAATAACTACAATGTACTCAGCACAGTTCAAACAACCAAACACTGTTTGGTTGTTACCACAAACACTTTAATGTAAACACAGATTTACAACTGACTGTAACTTCAACACAACAAATAAAGACTTTTTTTCTACATCACACTTTGATGCCTACTTCCAACTTCACTCACTGACACATACAAAAGTGTTGAAGCTACACAGTCAACATCTGTGAAGAAAACACATTCACACTTTCATCAATATGCTGCAAATAAAACATATAAGTTCAATTACACTTAACACAAACAGGTTAAAACTACTTTTGAAATAACACTCAGACTCTAATGAACACAAAATTAAAGTGGTTGCCTTTAATGTCTTCATTTTGTACGATTACATGCAAACATTGTCAGAGAAAACCTTTTGTACTTTACAAATGCCAGCTTTCATTTCACCTACTTCACATTTCTGTTACATTGTTGTTTCTAAATAGCACCTTTTTAAGAATGACTTTACATGCACTTCAAACATGTTTGACTCACTAACAGCAGCACAGAGACACTGCTGTAACTGGATGTAATCAAACACCACCCAATTATCCCTCATCACTAATATCTTGACAATATTTATGAATGAACTTTTGCTGTCACTACTTCTAAAGGTTGACATTGTCTCACAAGGTAACTTTCACAGCACTTTTTTTTTTTTTTTAAGTCACTGACAAATCCAACAAAACCTCACACAGTGCCATTTCACTCAACTCCTCTTTTATCCACAAAACACCGTTTGAACCTTTACACATAAACTACTCTGCAAACACCATATAAGATATACTACATTGCCAAAAGTATTCCCTCACCCACCCTCAAAATCATGTGATCCAATCACTTTCATGGCTACACATGTATAAAATCAAGCACCAAGACATGCAGACTGTTTCTACACACATCTGTCAAAGACTGGGTCACTCTCACTCAATTCCAGCATTGTCCTCTGATAGGACGTCACCTGTGCAACAAGTCCAGTCATGACATTTCCTCTCTCCGAAAACTCCCACAGTCGACTGTCAGTGGCATTCTGACAAACTGGAAACAAACACGAACTCAGCCACAAGCAGTAGGCCATGTAACCTGACAAAGCTGAGGGAGCAGAAGTCACCAACTTTCTGCAGAGTCAATTGCCACAGACCTCCAAAGTTCATGTGAACCTCAGATTAGCTCAACAACACTATGTAAAAAGCCTCATGGACTGTGTTTTCCATGGTAAAGCACCTGCATCCAAGCCATTACTCACCAAGTGCAAAGCATCACATGCAGTGGTGGAGACACGCTCTCTGGAGTGACAAATCTGGCAATCAAGTCTGGGTTTGGCAGCTGCCAGGAGAACAGTACTTCTCTGACTACACTCTGGCAAGTACACTTTGGTGGAGGGAGGATTGTGGTGTGGGACTGCTCTCCAGGAGCTGGGCCCCTCAGGTCTAGGGAAAGGAACTCTGAATACTGGACAACTTCATGGGAACACTTTGGAGATGGCCTCTTCCAGCATGACTGTGTACCAGTGCACAAAGCAAGGTCCATAAACACATGGATGAGAGGGTTTGGTATGGACTGGCCTGCACAGAGTCCTGACCTCAACCCAACAGCACACCTTTGGGATGAATTAGAGCACAGACTGAGAGCCAGGCCTTCTGGTCTAACATCAGTGTGTGACCTCACAAATGCACTTCTGGAAGAATGGTCACAAATCCCCATAAACACACTCCTAAAGCTTGTGGACTGCCTTCCCGCTGAAGCTGTTACAGCAGCAAACGGTAACCCAACAACATACTAAACCCTATGGATTAGGAATGGGAAGTCAGTTCAGATGCAAGTCAAGGCAAGTGAGCAAATACTTTTGGCAATATAGTGTATGTTACTGTTCTCCAAAAACAAATACACAGTCTTTACATGTTGAATTTAGTAGGACTTTATTTTTAACAGGACTTGTAATGGAGTATTTTCACATTGCTACTTTTACTGAAGGGATTTACATTGTTTTACACATTAACACCCACTGAATAGAAACGCACAGAAATACAGTGAAGACAGCAGGTTGGGTTGTTTGTCATCACAAAAAAAAACTTTCATTTTCTACTTTTACTTGTTCAAAAGGTTCATTGTGTCATACATGAGCCTTTTTGAAACCTAATTTTAATCATTGACACATCCTACAGACACAAAAAACTGATGTGTTAACTGTAAAGACGATATAGGACATACTACTTACCCACCTCGAAATGCCTCTGGCAACCATCACTCTCAAAGTGGTCATTCTTCCCAACAACATGTCTGCAAAAAAAAAGCAAAACAAGACACACAGGTACAGCTACAAGTGCAAAATAAGCCTTTACCTTCATCTGAGGAAACAGTCCAGCCTTCTCTCTCTCTCTCTCTTCTCCTGCAAGACAAACACCAACGAAAACCCAACAACAAACTTCCCCACACGACACAAAGACGCCACTGGACACAAGGCTTCACACTTGAATAATTCATTTAATCTCCAGAGAGGTTGCACTGACTTTGTCTTTGTTACACACTGCACACGATAACACAACAAAACACCTCGCGACGCACAAGGTCGTGCAACATCTAGTCCGGCTCCAGCACTGCGCGCATTGGCTGATCAGGGGGTGCGTTCACAAATGTTCTCTATGGAATACTGTTGCACAAACATGGCTGAGTGCTTGAAATCGGTGGGTTTTCCTCTCTGCTCCTCAGAAGAGTCTCAGTCCAAAATGACATTTTTGCAGTTTGACAAAAAAAAATTAACAGCCACAAAATATCTTTAAAAAATGCAATGCATTCAAAGAAAACAACAACAACAACACAGGCAGATAGATCCAGAAATGGCTTCCACATGTGAGTCTTTATAAGCACAACAAAAGCCAATAAAATCAAAACTACAAACAGTTCAACCAAATATTAGCATCAGCACAAACTCAACATCTCCTCTTGTGTCTAAATAACACTTAAAAATGTCAACAACTTTGGCTTAAAGTTATAATAAACGTACCTACTGTTATTGAAATGAAACCATGACGATGGATTGGCAGGAGAGCGACTGCACCACTACTGATGTAACGTCTGCGTATACATTTCTATATATTTATCATTCTTTTACAATTGGTTAGATATATTACATTTTATCCACACACTTTTGTCCGTATACATTTGTCATAAATAAAAGATTCCTGTCATCAAATCAATTATAAAATAAACTCACACACACACATACACGCAAATGTCTTTTTTTCTTCCCCCCATTAAGTTTGCTTCTTTGTAAAGTGCAAGGCAAGATACAGTAAACTTTGAAATGTACGACACACGCATGTAAGCTCCCACGCACCCTGAACGTCTCACCACCCACTAAAGTCACTACGAACTTGGCACGACAACCACTAAAGCCTCTAAGGTGTAGAGCGGACACAGCAGCAGCACGATCCTACCAGAGCTGAACACCGAGTAGCGCCTCACAGTAGCTCCAAAGGGCCACTTCACACACAAAATAAACCGTTTCTAGAAAAAATAAAAGCACAGAAATGATCCTTTGCTAGTTTCCCGCCTTGTTCGTGTCCAAACTAAGACTCCAAAGTGAGTTCTTGAATCATACTACTGTTTTTTTTGTCCCTTTTCATCACAAACAAGCGAAGCTGCGCATTACAACACACGTTTCTGTGGTTCTTCCTTTATATCAACACCACCAAGCTCACTTTGTGCAACATCTTCAGCTGCTCACATTTTAGCTTCTTTCTTCAAGTAACACTCCAATGTTTCACTAAATTCACTTTTTTCTACCACGCTCAGGCGAGATTCTGATGAAACTTTTAAGGCCAAAACGCTGTTTTCCAGTTTCTCTAATCAACATTTTCATCGTTTCTATTTGACACTGAACATTGCAGCTTTCTGAAGTCACCCAACATGTCGTGACATTCACTTTTTTGCTGTCTTACTGCGTTTTCTTACACACCTCCAACAGCTCAACTGTTCTCTAACACATTTCATTTTAAGTTCACTAAAAGAAAACAGCTTTTAAACATCTATTAGCTGAGACGTTGGACTTTTCTCTTGACCGTAGCCTCGCAAAATAACTAACCTTAAGCTACCTTGGCAGATAAAAACTAATAAAAAGCTCATTAAATACATCCACATGACACGTTCTGGTGAAGCAGGCATCGTTAACTTTACTACTTATTTAATCTGATGGTATTTTTAGCTCATAGTTAACTCAGGTCCTAGCTTGACTAGTTCACATTAGTTCTGTATTAAATTAAAAGCACTGACATGTTATGATATTATTTGTCTGACTGTCTCTTAGTTGCTTACACACAAATTCAACTACGTTTCTAACAAAGACTGTTTAAAGGTAAAAACAGCCGTCCTCCAACATATTTAACATCTTTAACGACGGCCCAGATCACACCTTGAAGCTCACAAACTGTCCTCTTTGGCAACAAACACTAAAACCAGCAAATAAAAGACGTTTCCTAGCCGCTGCGAGGCGTGTTTCACCTTTACTGCAGCTCAATGTTCTCCCATTGAAGTGAAACGCATCTCTTTACCGAGTGCACAGACCAAACAAACATGTTCATCCTCTCGTCTGTCTGAAGGTAAAACAGCAAATAAGTGACCTTCCTGGACTCCTTTAAGGATCATTCCTGTCAAGACGCTGCCTCTAAGAGCACACGTGTCTAAAAACCAACTCTTTCCGGCCCCAGCTAGAGCAAATAATCACACATCCAACACTGGCGTTTGCTCAGAGACACTTAGAATTAGCACACAGGCTGTAAATCAACACACTCTTCAACTTCTTCTCTTCTCTGGCAGTTAAACAGTCTGGTCCTGGTCGAGCAGGTTAAAACCAAATCAATGCTCACAAAATGTCACCAGTCAGAACAAACGAGCTAAAAATTTCACTATAATGAGGCAACTTGCACTGTGAGGCGTAGGGAGGCTAAGTATGCATGCAGGGACACACAGGACGGCTTCCATTATACGCACGGTGGCCGAGGAGCCGCTCAGAGGGGGAAGCAGCAAAGCTCAGACAGCTTCACGGGTTGGGAAAATAAGATATACAAAAAAATATAAATATAGATTTGTAATAATCAGAATAATAGCTTTGAACCACAGACAAGGCAAAATCAAACACCCACTGACTCTTATATTACACGTACAATCATGAATATGGCAAAGTAGAAGCGGTACACTGAGTAGCTGTGACGTTCAGTCCTCGATGCTTCCTCCACCACACGCCGGCAAAAACATCTGACTTAGGGAGTCACTTCATCTGCTGCTGCTGCAGCTAAACGCTTCTTCATAAAGCAGGTGAGACGACGGGAGTAGATCCTACTGACTCCCACATAAGTCACACTCCAGGCCTTGATCATAACTGAGCGATCGTCTCGTGAGGCTGCAGATGAAATGACTCACAGCCAAGGTCAGTATTTTTGCCGCCTCGGACCACACGAGTCACACGACAGCCTATTAAGAACCACTTTAGGACCACGACAGTAGAACCTTTGTGAAATCATACATGGTTTATCGTTTAACGCTATTCACAGGTTAATACAAGTCCACACAAGTACATTCCTCGGTATATTTTTTGCAACATTTAAGATATTCTCCAGTTCAGTAGACGATAAGGTTGAGATGTTTCAGTTTGTTCATTTTGTCGATTAGTTGCCGTCAGAGTTCTCATGGCAGTAGCAACACCGAATAAATACTCTTCTCACGATCAAAAATCAAAGTCTGAAGGCTGTTCAGAAGTTCAGAACTAAAACGATTAAGTTAGAGAGAAAAAAGCCAAAGACTGTAACAACTCATGATAGTAGATAGAAAACAAGATGGCTGCCCTCGACATGCAAGGAGAGCAGCCACGTAAACACATTTCTTTGTCAAAGAAACAGAAACAAGGTGGACGCCGCCGCCGTCGCCCCAAAACCTCCCCCGTCTCCCGTTTGACTGGCCGCTGGCCACACCTACACAACCAAAAACACTTGGTGAAGCAATGTGATGTGAAGCCAGGCCCCTTCCAAAAGATTCGAGAAAAACAGGAACAAAAAATAAAAGAATTCCTCCCGCTGTGCAGAAAAAAAGATGACACCAGAAGTGAAAAGGGCAGAAAGATGGTTTTCCTTTTCTTCCCAACACCTCCGTGAAGCCACTGAGCGTGGCGGGTAGAGAGGAGGAGGAGGAGGACAGGCCCGTTGTCAGGGTGACGGGATGGAAATAAAGCACCTCATCAGGACTTCAGTTGCCTGAAGAATCTGCCTCTGCGGCTCCACCTTTGATGTCCCAAGCTCCTGCAGAGGAGACACAAATACAACTGATGAGAAACAAACAGGCTGCAGCTGACGATTATTTTCATCGTCTATTAATCGTATGTATCTTACCCATTCCAGAAACAATCATAGAATAACTTGTATTATGTAATCTTACTTCTCATTAGCTCTGTTTTTATGCTCCACTCTCTAAACACCAGACATGTTGCACCTCTTTTCTTTGACCACATTAGAGGTCCACTGTCATAATGGTGTGATATCATCATGTGACATTTTCCAGACGTCACAGCAGAAAAACGAGCACATGTACAGTGACGCCGTCAAAGTCCAGACTTTAAACTCTCTCCCAGGTTTCGTTTCATGTCGATAGGCCGTGTAAAACCACAGAGATGATGCACACGTAAAACGCACATAAAACACGCGCTGCAGACGTCACATTTCTTCGTCATTGTACACAACGAAACTGAAAGAAAGTCCCTGGAAACTATTTCCTGCAGTGGCATCGATAAAAACATGACCTAAACAACACCTACTTTGTATATAGTTGCAAATATTTAACATTACTTTGATTTTTATATCAAATGTACCGTTCCATGTTCATATCTGCGACCTATATTTACATTTTCAGCTTTCAAAATGCTTCCTTGAGCATGTTTGTGTCTTTCAATAAAATCAACAAATCTTTCTTTTTTATAGGATTTCATATTTTCTGTGTTTCTGAGCCCAAAATGTTAATATAGTAGGTTGAAGTGAAAACATAACACTTGATGATTTTGTGCAGATACCAAACATGTGCACACTAAACATGTTTCTATGTGGTGTCAAAACTACAAGGATGCAAACAGCCAAACCAGGCCAGACTTCTGAAGGTTAAACGTCTTTCTTGAATGTAACACGTGAGTTCTCAGAAACCTCCCAACGACAACGACGACTGAATCTAACACCGAGACGCAACTTCCTCTCTTTTTAGAGCAAACCTCCTTCAGGGTAATCAGACCTTCAAAGGCTCTCGTCGCTTTCCTCACCAGTGTGAGATTGATGAAAGCTGCCGGCTCAGTGTTTGTTGTGCAAACTTGCCAATTTATAGCTCACAAGGCTTTGTGGTTTGGTTCTGGTGTCGGATGGTTCACACACAGTCAGATTGTGCTGTCAGACACAATCCAGTGTTTTAGACAGCCGGTGTGTCCACAGCAAACACAATCATTTAAATTAATCTGGCTTCATACAGCTGCTGCAGATTCACCGTTACACGCCTGGATCCCAGAGCTGTGGACAGTCTGCCACAGATCACCAGCCAGAAGCAAACACAAACCAGAAACGGACTGGGCTCCATGTAACGACACCAACACACCAATACACGCCTGGACTTTGCTCAACCCAGTTTGTTGTTTTTGACTCTCACTGGTTTGCATCCTGTGGCTCTGAAGTGTGACTGTACGACTCATTGAGGACTTTTTGACAGATGTCACACCAGGATCACAGATATCAGGTTCAATATTAACAATATCAATCACTAACATCTGGCATGAACAACACTGAACTAACAGCTGTTTATTCCTCCACTCAAAGGGAACACATGGCAGGACATCATCCAGATGTTGGCTTCCTACACACACGTCCATTAAGATGATTTTGATACTTAAAAAGTGCGTTCCTATCACAGACAACTGACAACAGCCCATGTAGACAGCATGACTTGGTTTTAGTCAGTAAATCCGACCTTGGGACACCTTATTTTATAACAACTTTTGGTCTCAGTAGAAACTACAGGCTTCCCTGTGCACAACAAACTAGCTGGTTAGCATGTACTGTAGCATCATGTGAGGTGTTTATGGACCACCTGGAAATTGGAGTGTCTCTCAATGAGCAGATTTTTAGCAAGTGAGCTATTTTGGAAGCAATTGTATTTAAATGTTGGCCAACAAGAGCTACACTTTCTGTCCTATTTTGTACATTTGCATACATGTAGTTCAACATGCTAGTCAAAGCAGTGCTTTTTTACATAAAAAAAATCATAAATATTTTGTCACTACAATCAATAATTCAGAGAAATAATTATCTTATTACTTTTATTTTTTGCTACAATGGGCCATTTGTCATTTCTTCAACAGACACTGCCATTTAATTTCTTCTCCCATTTAAAAAAAAAGTCAAGTTTCACTTTAATATTCACTGTATAACAGATGAAAAACACAAGATTAAACGTTTTTGTAACACGATAGCTTAAATCTTGGGTCAGATTATGTTGATACTTGATTTAACTTTTGCAACTTCCTGACTGTATTGTTTAAAAATGCACCTTTGATTTAAAATCAATCACAAAAGCCAAACTACATGTTGTGCATACAGAGGCTCTGAAGTGTGACAGGATATCAGGTGTTGGAGACCAAAGGCTTTGAAGGCAGCGTCCTGATGTTTTACCTGAGAGAGAACTGTTGGACTTCTGCTTGTGGAGCTTCTCTCTCTCCTTCTTCACCTTCGGAATGATCTTCAGCTTCATGCTGCTGCTGCTCTTCGTGCTGCCCCTCACCGAGTCCTGAAAAACAATGGAGGAGTCATTAGGCAAAAACAGAAAGGCACTGAGGGATATTTTGATATTTTGGTCGTCAGTGAGGGCAGATGGGCTGCTACTAGTCAGGACTGAGCAACAGAAGCGACGCCGCGGCACTTGGCTGGTTGTTAGACTCATAATACCACGGGTTCTGTCCCTCCTACCTCCTCAGAGCACTGCATGAGCGGGCAGATCCAGTGGATGTCGTCCAGCTTGTGGAGCTCAGCGCTGAGGCTGTTCAGAGTCGAGCGAAGCTCCTCTTCCTCCGGAGACTCCGACTGAAGAGGAGCAGATGACAAATGCTCCAAAAGTTTACTTTCAAAGTACAATTTCCTAATCAGAATGTGACATTAGCTCACAGACAGCTGCACTTGTACAACGTTTTGTCCACTGACACTTTTTTACAACATTCTCCATCTGTACATCTGCAAAAGGCCAACATCTGCTGTGTGACCACGACGTACATGTAGCCTCTGAGTATATGGAGCTCAGACGTAGCAACACCGAGCAGCTGTTAACTTTAAAAGGTGTCAACAGTGGCGTTCAAGGATTTCTCTCAGAATAATACGCATACATCATCTAGATTCTGTTTACTGCGCTGTTTGATCATCACAGGTTCACTTCATCATTACAAGGATGTTTCTGGAACCTAAACGAGTCGCCAAAGTTCATATTTCCGACTAGAATCACAGAAGGTACAAATGTGTGAAAGCTAAGACCAGCTTGTGAATTCTGAAAAGGCTTTTAAACATTATGAAACAGACCGTAGAAACAAACGGGGAAAATAACCAGAAAACTAAGTCTCCAGTGTTGTTGCTGTTGTTGTCGTGATGTGCAGTATTGTGCAGCTCTGCACAAAGAGCTATTGTTTAAAACAAGGTATGTTTCCTCACACCGTAAATAAAGCTACAGCAAACACAAACCAAACAAAGACACTCGGCAGCACAAACTGAAATGTGAGACGTCACAGAGCTCCAACGCTTTCAGCAGAGACAGACGAAGGAAACAACAGACGACGCTGTCGGGCTTTACCAGTAGTTTTCCATCCAGCAGCATCCTGGTTTCCGCCTGGAGAACTTTACTGCTGTTGACGATTTCCACTGCAGTGCTGCGACTCAGACACTGAAAACACAAAAACATCACTTCATTTAACATCACGTAGTGCCCGGTACAAAGATATTACAACAAACAATGTCTATCTTTACATCTTCACTTCATAAACTTTTCAATGCTGCAGTTGATTAAAACAACAACAAAATACATCTGGATTTGTGGATATTTCTAAACATTGTGACAGAATCTGCAGCTCTAAAAACATGATTACAGTATTGTAAATCAATGCATTAATTTCCAGATGACAGTGTTAAAATCACTTGAATGGAAATCCTAAATAATCAACTGTAGCTGAGTAAATAAGTTGCAAAATTAACTATTACATAATTACAAGCTCGCAAAATATACAACCATGAAACCAAAAAAATGATTCTCATTCTCTCAGGTCTTTTTCCCCACATTGCAGCTCTAACGCTGCCAACTTGTCTAACTTTAGCATTATGGATCTCCCTCATCATTTCAGTACAAAAAGAGCAGATTAGACTGATTCAATATGCTGCAAACGCTGTCTTTTTGTGTTATTTATGGGTTTATAGATACAGCTACTGGGTAAGAGGGCTGCTTTATTAAATAACCAAAGCAGCAGCAAAGTATAAAACACATTATTTAAATTTACACTCACTTGCAAAATGCTAAATCAAAGCAGACTCAAAGTAAAAACAGCTCCAATTAAATCAAATTGATCAAGAAATGCAGCGGCTGTGAGAACAATTTCCTGCGAAGACGGTACTGATTCCCTTTACATCATTCATTATTTTCTACTCTGAACGTCCTTGAAGTGACATCGCTGATGCATTTCAGGTTAACAGGCTACAAAACCGACAGCCGCTGAACCGACACGGGACCCAAACATATTGCTGAAAATCTGCACGCTTTACATCTCCATTTTTGTCAATCAAATCGGCCATCTGTCGGTCCGTCTGCCCCTCTTTCCGCCTCGGCGTCTTACCTCGGGGCTGGACAGTTTGGCCTCGGTGAGCACCAGGGCGGTGGCGTTGACGGCGTGGGCCAACTCCTGCTCCACCAGCTTGTGGGTCTTGGCTGCTTCGCGGATTCTGGGGAGGAGAAGGAAGGAAATCATCGACATGAAAGAGCTATAATTACAATTTCAACAAGCTGAAAGGGCACAATTATGATGATTATTTCAGCCTGTTGATGGGACAAAAGCCTGACTTCTCTTCCTCTGTTTTCCCACCTTTGAGTTCAGCTACTTTTTGCTTGAATTCAAAACTTTACTTTGCTGTTTTTGTACTTTTGATTAAAAGCAGGCCCATTTGAAGAAATCCAGAAAAACCTGCGTTACATTGACTGGCCTCCATCTGTAGAGTAACTTGATATAGTCTTCATTTCAAACTGATGCGACTGCTCAAATAAAAGGTGGAAAACTACACAGTTGACATCTTCGTTTGTGCCTCCAATCCTCCACACCGAATCTCTTTTAAATAAAAATTCCCCGTATGACCATTTCTGTGCATCTGAGCCAGATTTACAAATGTACTTGAAATATTTATTATCCTGAAAGGAATGTTCAATTTGCAGACAGACGTGAAAAGATTTCAATAAACCAGACAAACTCAGACAGGTTGAGAAAGCTGCAGAGAACAAAAATCAATGGCTCATTAGTGCGACGGAGAAAAACTTAGCAAATAAAGCAGCTAATTGCAGTGGGATGAAGGAATCCCAGAACGTGGAGCTGGATCTCCCCCTGACGCCTTTATGCTCTTCATACAAACACATCATACGACCAGTGTGCTGATGAGATCACTTGTTTTCATTTGCATGAACTTGACTAAATAATTTCTCCAAGAACTCTCTCATAATGTTAAAAAAACGTTGTCTAATATCAGAAATACTCAACCAGGACTTTAAACCCATGACACACGTTTGTTAGAAATGAGCCTCTCTGGGTTGAAAATTAGACTCTTCATGATGTTAAAGCTTCCCAGACTTTTAAAGCAGATTTGATCATGTTTCACGATGGCATCTCCACATTTTCAGATTATTACTCACTACTTTTATACTCTAATTACCTTCATTCATTTCTATTTGGTGTGTAGTTACCGCCAACACAATAATCTCAGAAAGTATTTGATATATCAAGCTAACATTTCACAGCTATCTTTATAAATATACATATTTTACGCTATAAAAAATTCAGACAAATTAGAGACGGTGGAGCAGAAGTTGTCCTAAAAAAATTTGGCATGGACCAAAAATATGTCCTTTTTTTTATTTTTATGGTATCTTCAGCTTTTTACAATATTTCAGTTGCCTATCTGGACACTTTATGTCCGACTGCAGCAACGTCATCACTCCTGTCAGCGTGCACGTCACAGCGGCTGCACCTGTGTTCCCAACAGTTACGGATTCATCCCACCAAACATATGAAGACTTTATAAAACATGATGTAGACAGAGCTGAAATGATGAGCTGATTAATCAATTCAGCTGACAGATAATCTGCCATTATTTTAATAGCTGCTTAAAGCGCTTGTTATTTTCTAATTATGGAGGAATAATCATTAGATTAATACACAATAAAAATAACCATTAGCTGCAGTGACAAAGAAAACAAATGAGCTCCACGTTAACCAACAACAACAATAAAACCCTGCTTTTACATTAATGCCCGACAAATACTGATCTAATTATACAATAAATACAACGACAACAGTCACAGGGAAGATTATTCACAGCGTGCTACGTGTGATTTCTTCCGCCACCACAGAGCGCCACCTACTTGTTGATGAGCGTGTCGGCCACGATGCCCAGCTGCTGCACCTGAGCACACTCCTCCTCCGTCAGGTACTCCATGGACTGCTGGGAGTTAAGGCGGGGCCTGCTGGCGCGGTAGCTGTCGATCTTCCTCTTGTCCTCCCACGACTTCAGCGTGCTCTCGAACGCCTGGTTGTATGAAGAAGATCTGGGCGTTAGGCGATAATTAACAAGTGACAACAGATCAAATTCAAGGGTCACCTGACCCCTGAGGGCTGCACTACAAAGTGAGATCACAACATTAGCAGGCATGTTGACAATAAAGTCAGTGTTTTCAGTGTCATGAAGGTGGATCTCCTTTTTAACCTGCTACATCTCCATAGTAACGGACGCTGTGGATTTCAACAATTTCCCTGAGGTTTACACCGAAGGAATCAACAAAGCTTCATTCTATGTTTTTTTTTTTTTTTTATTCTAGCTAACCTGGTCAGGAGCAGGTTATGTTCAGAGTTTTGGATTTAAATCAGATGTACGAAGCATCTCCCCCTTGAACCAAAATCATGTCCTGACAACTCTTAACTTAAGTTACATCTGCAAACCTGCTGATCCGTATGTTACTAATACAACCGTATGAAGCCGTGCAGCGACAGCATTGCACACTGGTTGCCATGGGAACCACACATGTAATCAGTTGGCGATGTAGAAATCCCATAAACATGTTTTTAGGTTTGGTCCATTTAGTCTGCAGCTGACAGAACACATATTAGAAAATTGATTATTCTACTGGCATTTATTACAGACAATATTCAATCAATAACAATAATTTCACTTTGTGGGATAATGTGCTGCTGTCAGTTAGAAATAAGTGATCAGTTAAATAAATATATGACCACACGTTTAACAGTTTTCTACCAGCATTCCTGTCCTGCATCATTTGCAGTAGCAGCGCTTTTCAACATCAGAATTTTAATGTTCTTTGTTGTTCTCCATTAAAACAAGACTAAAGATGCTGGACACGATTGTTTCATGTGGGCAAAAGAGTCCAAAGCACAAAGTTGGAGTTAAAGAAAGTTGAAAACCGCCCTCCTGATACCTGTTATCTCTGACTGGGGCTTTAGTTTTCGTCATGTCGACTTACGCAAAGAAAGGCTGGATATGTCAAGCTAGCTTCACAGTTCAGCTCTCAGATTTATAGAGTTTCTTTGGGCATTGTGCGTTTGTGAAGATCAACTGAATAGTGAAGGTAGCACAATTAGACACCGGTGCGTTTTACAGCACGTCTGGACTGGAATACAAGAGAAACGAGTAAATCTGACGGAACTGAAGGAGCAAAGAAAGATAAATCTAATGCACATGGATCCAGCAGGTTCACCTGAAACATAACCGTCACCATTTCACTGAATAAAACCCACATTTAGGAGGATAAAGTATTCTTCTGTCTTTGCGGCGCTTAAGGAGGGAAACCATGGAAACGCGCTGCCCAAATGTGCTCGGCTCAAGAGAGCTCTCAAAGGTTTGAGCGGTGTGAAGGGAGAACAAACACCGTGGGTATGGATTTGATTTAAGAAATCCCGAAATAGAAAGTGTCAACAACATGGGCACGGAGCTGAAGCCGCGGAGCTGAGAGTGGATCTTCAGCTGCAATATTTATGAAAGGAAGAGTATTTCAAGCCGGCGCTGCTTCTCTTTCACAGTTTTCCATGAAGCAGACTCGTACATATGCCCCGTCGGATTACTCCTATTTGCGCCGGGCCTTACTCTGTCTCTGGTGAGCATCTGAGCCCGGTTCTTGTGGACGATCTTGACGATGCCGGGGGGCTGGACCCAGGCCTCTCCATCCACCTGCACAGGAACCCCCTCCTCCCCCAGGATGGTGATCTTCACCTGCCGGCACTGAGGAGCGACAGAGCAGAAAACAGCAGCTGTCAGATGGGAGACTTGTTTGTTTCTTCCATGCATAAAGTGCTGTTTTTCTTACACCAGCTATTCCCTCCTCGACCTCTTCTGTCCTCTGCTGCTCAACGTTTGTGTATTTTTAGGTGCTGAATATGTCTCGAATGCTAATTTTTTCTACACCCCATTGTGAGAGCCAGTGCACCTGAACCATGTGACTGTTCTCCCAGGACTGCAGTAATTTTCACAATTAGTTCCAGTGAAACAACGACTGGTTATCTGCTCTGAACAGCACAATCAATCATCAGCTTTCTGTTTTCTTGAATTTCTAGGGCGTCAGCACTGTCTGGGGCAGGATCCCTCTTGAAATTGCTATTTTATTATTATATTATTAATTTTTTTCAGACGCTAAACATGTCTGAAAACTCAGAAAGCTTTGCACACGTGTCAAAAGTCATGGAAATGTACATTTGTTGGCACATGAGTTTAGCAGAATGGCTCCGTAAGACCCTCTACACAATTTCAATTAAGTCACTGTTGTAGTACATTTAAAACAGGAAACTGACACACAACATCCTGAACTTACAAATAAAAAATTCTTGGATTATATTATCAAAGTTAACTATATGCTATTTTCTCCCACCCCCGATTTTTTTTTTTTTTAAATAACCGAGGTCGAGTGTTTGTGATTCACGTCAAGATTAAAATCAACTCCAGTTTATGTAAATATGTTCTTGTAAAAGGAATCTTTAGTTTACAGCTGCAATCTAAGATTTTAAGCACTTTAATTACAACATTAAATCAGTTTGACTCACTGAGGATCAGAACATCGGCTAATGTCTAACAAGAGTCTGCAGTTACGACGAGAGCTAAATGTTAACATGATGGAAACAGCAACATGCTGATGTTTGGTAGATACAAGTTTTAAGTGGTCAGAAACCAACACAATAAACAGGTTTCAGGAGACTGTCACCGAGCTTCTAATACACTACAGAAAAAGCTATGTCTAATTTAAAGTCTATGTTTTCTTTTTTTTGATCATTTAAACGGCTTTAATCAGCCTTAAAATTTTGCAAATCCAGGTAAGACTAATTAGATGCTCGCTAGATCCTTGAAGGTTAACAAACTAGTAAAGTAACTGGAGCTCCAATTTAGAAAGTCCCATGTGATATTTATATGTAGCAACTGGATATCTGGAGAGAGGATGGATTATATCTCCGAGTTATACTGAGTAAGTCATGTAGAAACTTCAATTAGGCTGCTTTTAAAGAAATAAGCAGCAGGTACAGACAACATTTATCACTATACATATATATATATATATCACAGATCAGTTCAGGACAATTATCCAAATCTAAGTTTAGCATCATCATATTTCATTAAAAGCACTTTGTCTCATTCAAAAATTAGCCAACACATGACTGTGACCAACGGCCACGTGACAAAAATTCAGGGAGTTTGTAAAGCCACCATTTGTCTCCAGTACAAATAACCCAGAAAACATTTCTTTGACTTCTCTCTCCTTCTAGCCAGGGTTGTGCTGTTTCCATACAAATGTCAGACTTAATGTTGTAGAGCAGGGGTGTCAAACTGCGGTCCTCGAGGGCCGCAATCCTTCAAGTTTTAGATGTTTCCAACACACCTGATTCAAATGATCAGCTCATCATCAAGCTCTGCAGAAGCCTGATAACGATCCTGATCATTTGATTCAGGTGTGTTGGAAGAGGGAAACGTCTAAAACATGCAGGATTGCGGCCCTCGAGGACCGGAGTTCGACACCCCTGTTGTAGAGAAAATGAGCCCATAGTGTGTAAAAATGCCCAGAAACTTCTTGGGGTTCAGAGGATTAAATTAAACTTATTAACTGATCAATAAATGTAAGTACACTACATGCGCTTATGAGTGTAAGTGTACCTGTGCGATGCGATGGTGCTGCAGGTTGATGACTCTGGACATGGCCATCTGCATGCTGCCAAACACCGCCACCACCTCCAACTTCTTATCGTCAAATGACGGAGCACCGAAGTTCTGGACAAAGACAAAACAAACATCAACTTCAAACTGATCAGTTGAAACACAAAGTTACACTTCAGTTTGACCGTCTTGACACAATTAAAGAAATAAAACTCTGCAGCTTCTTCAAGGCCTGGAAGCACAACACTCACATTGTCCTCCTTGGTGCCTCCCCAGAAGTTGATCCCGCCTGCATAGCTGGGGATGTTGAGAACAGCCAAACCCTGCAGACTCGGCAGAGACATGGGAACCCCGTCACACTGTGGGGACACAAGAGAGGAAGTATGAATGGGAGACTAACTCAGGATGTCAGAGGAAAGCAGCTGGCAGCAATTTGGATCCCAGAACAGAAGCAGCTACACATTTAGTTTCCGCTTTGTTAACACACATCTCCAAGTGTCTGACCTCCAGCTGAACTCGCTGCTCCAGGTTCTTGTACGTCTTCTGGACCAGTTCTTTGGTTCCCAGGACTCCGTACCACATCATGTTCTTGGTGCGACTACTGCAGGAGACAAAGAGGAAACAATCAGCACTGATCTGATGCTGCATTTCTTTTCATGATATTGCTTTTACCCATGAGCCTCAGCTGCTGCTGGTGACAAGAACTGCTTTGCAATTACATTTGTGAACAAAACAAAATCCCATAATTGTTAAACAGAGTTGACAAATTTGCCTAAAATTTAAAAGCAGATTGATTTCAGCAGCTAATCTTAAGCTTCCAAGGATCGTGACAGAATTTTAGGGCCTGTGATTGGACATTTCTTGCCAAAATGCAAGAGGAATTTCTGGCATTACATGAATCCAGATTACACCTAAAACCTTCAGGTTCTACCAATGAACACGTTGCTCTGGTAGTTTGTTAAGTTCCATGATTCAACAGGACGACTGCTCTTTACAATCAGCCTCGTGTGTGTCTTCATACCTGCACTTCTTGGGGTGCTCGTCTCTCTTGTTGTTGAACTCGAGGGAGATTTTGGCGTCCAGGCCGATTCCGAAGTAGTTGTTCATCACGCACTTCTCTGAACATTGTCTGCAGATGCACACCATGTCGGCTCTTTAATAATGCATCGCGACACGCACAGACAGACAAAGAGGAGAACACAGGCTCACACTTACACCGAGTCCTCGCTGAAGGTCACTGTGTTGAGGCTCTCTGGTTTCTCCAGGACGATGGGGGAGGTGGGACTCAAGCTTCCCGGACCTGCACACAACCATGAGGAGTGAATGAAATGAGATAGCCTTGTTTTGATTCAACTTTGGGTTGAAGAAACAAGTTGCCTGACCAAACACAATCTTGAACTTCCAAAATACTGACGTAGCTCTCCGAAGTGTACAAGCAGCGTTTTGGTGTCCCATCACTTCATGTCTCTGCTGACTTCAACCTAAAGGGACACTTACGTGGCTCAGCATCCTTCAGCTCCTCACTGTTTTCTCTCTTGATGGAGGACGAAGACGACATCCTCTGGACCTGCGTGTGTCTGTTCTGTTCATCCACCACTGAAATGACGATGAACGATCAGTGAACTGCACAGAGCGCGCTCGCGTTTACACGACAACCGGCCCTGATGTTTTACAGGAGATGACTGGTGCTTACCTTTCTCAGCCTGTTCGATGATCTGCCTCAGGGCTTTCTTCAGGCTGTTGGCTCTGAGCATCAGCTGCTCTTTGGACCGATACGTTTTGCCCTCTGAACCCGACTCGCCGCCACTTTCTCCGGGGCTCGAGCCGCCGCTCTCCTGGCTGGGAACGGAGCCTGCCGGCACCACCTGGATGAGCGCAGAGCACAAATGTGCTGTAAAACCTATAAAATATATTCTGGTACACTCGTGTTAAATGACATTTTGTGGAATCCAGATGTAACCCTGCTTCCCCATAAGATCTATTACATTTTATGAGCGGTGGGAGCCCTGCAGTCATCTCCACAGCACCACCGAAGCAGCAGTGTTTAACCAGAAAACGTCTCCTCATTCATAAATTTTTACTGTTGGTGCTCTGTGGATCCTATAGCGGTGCCACATCTCGTTCTCCTCCTTGTTTCGAGAGGCAGCAGTGGATATTCATTTATAGACAGAACTGCTGAGGGATGAGGATCTCCATTTTTTATTCATCAAATATAAAATATACATACAACTTTGATTCAACGCTAAAATCCAGCGCGCTCCCCCCCTTCTATTGAGCAGGAGGTTGAAATCGTGCTGACATTTTGAAGGCTGAGCTCTTTCTTCTAAAGCACCGACATCAATATGTGAATAAAAGACTCCATAGGGAGCTCAGACACAAAAAGCTAAATGACGTTTTGTTTTTTTTGCTCCCGTGAGGGAACTTAAGATGTGTGTAAAGCCACTGTTTTCCCTGAAAAGGATCAGGTTGAATTAGGACGGTTTAAAAGCTCTGGAGTTAGAAACATTATTCACCATCTCATAAATAAAGCACATCTTATCCACTGCTTATGTAAAAGAACAACTTGTTTGCAGTGATTTATAATGTCAATAGAAGGAAAAATGTACAAAAAACTTGTGGATAAAGCAAATAAATGCAATTATTGGTAAGATATCTTAAATTTTTGTGCTTTATTTAAGCATCCTTACATGATGCCAACCTGCTAAAACCCCTGATTCTTATGATAGTGGTAAAGGGATCCACCCTTTACATTAAAAGCATAATAATCCTGAGAGCAACAGGATCACACAGTCATGCATAATATTCAAACAATTAAATGTTTAAGCAAATATTAAGTGTTTTTATTTCTTGTTTAGAACCATGAAAACATAGAAACGTGGAAAAACATGTTTCTGTTCCTTCTAATTCACCCTGTGACCCCTCAGTTCACACTGTTGCCCCTTAAAAGGACCCTGACCCCCAGGTTGGGAACCGCCTTCATAGATAACACTGAAACACACAAGCAGCTTTTGTCGTTTTTTTTTTTGGAGCCTCTTCAAATCTCCTTTAGATACAAAACACTTCATCAGCTTTGTTTTTTTTTACACCAGGTGTTTGAATTTGGGATGATTATGTGTTTCCAATCAGCTGTAAAACTGCACTGTTTGCTTTGACTAGAACATATTGATTAGAGCCAGTGCTGTTATTACCTGAGCTTCCGCTTCCTCGCTTAAGGCCTTGACGAGGGAATCGAGTTTCTCATTCAGCAATGCACACTGGGAGAGGAACAAACAGACACAGAGGATGAGACGGAGGTATTTTTTTTACTGTTTATATTGCCGCCTGGCTCACTTCAAAACCACATGAGAGGAGAGTAAATCTGGAGATGCAGCACACATCAGCGCTGGGCAGGACTTCTGAAACTCTCTGTGGCTGCAGCAACATCTGAGACCGGCGCGGAATCAATACACGCCTTTATTCGGTGCGTACAGGACTTTTATTTAGGGAAGTGACAAGTGAATTTCCCGCCAGGCATCAAAGGAGCATCACATTAGCTGGAAGAGGATGAGTAAGTGGGAAAGAGGGAGGTTCTGATGGAAGGGTGTGGAGGAGGCTCGAGACGCCTCTGCTGGCTGAAAAGATTCTCTCTTTTTATAGAAACGTCTCACAAAAGCCTTATTTTTTAAAAGAAACACCGTCAGAGAAGACAAATAAAAGATGCACATTTGAGAAGCCGGAAGAATGAATTACATCCGTGCATTAGCTAAACACGGCTCGTCCTGTGGAAGGTCAAGCTGACATCGGGCCAGTTTATTGCTTTACAAGAGGGAGTTTTTGCTTGAAAAATTACTCAGGGCCCACCGTTTCCATGGCAACACTATGCTTCATGTTTACTCTGGTGAGAAAATCGAACGTATATTAATTTACTGGAAAACAACAACCGACCAGAAGCGACAGCACGAACACATCGCTGACACCTGGCATCAACACGAGCTGTATTGGATTAAAGCACTTGTTGATGCAGGTGTGTTTGCTCGCAGAATGCATGTGATCACATTGATCAGACTGTGATTGAATCTCAGCCCAGCCAGCTGAACTCCACCTCTTCCTGTTAGCCCAAGCTGCTACGAGGGGCAGTCGATGCTAACAGGTTTAAACCAACCAAAAAATATAATGCCCATCCTCGGCATCGCATTTCCTGTCAGGTTTCAGACTCGCAGACTAAATGTACGATGGCCGAGATTAAATCAGGGAACAAACTGCACCGTGGCTTTCAAGGGAGATTACATCTTTTTTTGGTCATTTATAAAGTAATAGATTTCGCTGATATTTATCATTATTCCGGCTGAAACGTATATAAATAATACAAATAAGTACTGATGTAGAGAAGCCGCTGCTTCCTGCTGCGTATTGATAAAATACCATCAATACAAGGTATCTGTTGTGATATTGTGTCGCCACGTTTGGTTGTGACGGCAGGAACAGCTGCTATATTTTGGAGATTCTCCCCTTATTTGCATATTGAGATCTGATCACAGCGCAACATAAAAGATGTTTGTGAAAGCTGCCTGCATGTCATCATCTAAATGCAGATCATATGTTAACACCAGGCGTAAACGTGGCTCCAATCATAGAGTGAAAGCTGAGCAAACCTATCAGCGGGTGAAGGTCTGTAGAAAGAAGTGAGGTGTGACTTTGACCCACTTTTTCAACTCGTTCTCAGCCTTCCAGCTCCAATGTCCTTTTCTGAATTCTTTTGAAGAGTGAATTCGGTGGATAGAAAGACCGCCACAGGCTCAGAACACTAGCGGAGGGAGTGGTAGCGCTGAACCTTCAACTATATTTCGCACTTTCTCCATTATACACACACACACCTACACTTGCCCACTAGTTACTGTTATACAAGCTCTTACATAACACGCACGGTTGCACACAAAACCATTTACCTTCTTTGCCATGGCATCTGCCTCCTCCTTGTTCTCCGTGGCTCTCTCGTACGCCTTCCCCACCTCCGCCACAAAATCATTCACCGTCCCACACAGAAACCTGGAGGGGAGGAAGAAGGAAGGAGGGAGGGAGGGAGGGAGGGAGGAGAGGGTGAAGGTTAACATGATTAACTCCCAAGAATCAAACAAATTATACGGTTAACATGTTGTGAATTTGGTGATTCACTGAGCAGTCACTGTGCTGCAGATTACAAACACACACACATGCGCGCTCTCGTTTCATTACCGCCTACCTGCCTGTCAGCTACGTCGCCTCCACACAGTCACTATTTACTCACAGCTGTTACATTGCTGCTGTATGACTCAGCGGGGAGGTTTCTCCAAACTCACAGTCCTCGTGCTTTTCGCAAACATCGGATAATGAACGCTGCTTCTCTGCATTGTCCTTATTAATTCCTGTGCAGCTGATCATTTTGTATCTCCACATTAGACGTGTGTGAATTACAGATGTTTCACTGCATCTTTTTTTTTCAATAATTCGTGGGATTTTTTTTGTTGCAAACTCACTCTGTTGTGTTAAATATTCTGCAAAAGATGGGTGGAAGGTGGGAGGAAAATGACATAAGCGAGGACTGCAGGTGGAGAGGTATTGTTAAAAAAAAAAAAGCTATGCAGCACGACACACAGCCATTACGCTTTGTTTGCAAACTGAGAACATTTTAAAACTTAGTGCACCACACTCATCAAAGCCTGTGTAAAGCGGACACATTAAAAACGTTGAATAAGCGCTGAAAACATGCAACAAGGCTACGAACCACGAAGAAAACCAGAGCACATTAGCATCAGCGGCTCCCTTGTTCAATCACCTGCTACAGTCTATCATTTGTTAGCGAGCAAAGCCCTTCTCTTGCAAACACATCCTCCCTGAATGTCAGAGTTTGCAGACCAGCTCGGTGGCCTGATTTACATTTTTTTGAACCCGCACATACTCAAGGACGCAGTAAGTTTAACACTGGCCGTATTTGCAAAGTTACTAAAATACTCCACATCTACAGCGTGCTCTCGAACAACAACATACTTAAGATCTGCATATTTCTGTTGAACTTTGGTCTACCTGCTGCTTATCTAGTTCTTATAGGCCTCTTTACGTGCCTTTATATTGTCTGTTATCTTCATTGTTGGTGAAGGATTTCTTCACTTCTGCTTTGAAAACTGACTCAGAGGTGATCAGTTCTAACCTAAAGAACATCCAGGCAAGGTACCAAGTTATTTCTTAAAACTATTATTTAATCCCGTAAATGCCTGTCTCCTTGTACTTTAATAAACAAAAACATATGGCTCCTCCCAGCTACAGGACATCTGATGATAAAGCAGTTGTGGTAAATCATCTATTATATACATGTAGGAGCTCTTTCAGGAGGAGATTCTTGTTTTCTTCATCTACTTATTTGTCTTTACTGCTAAATATAGCCGTGTTGTGTCAGTAACGGGTCAATGTTAATGGTTAAAGGAAACCATTAGAGTCTGACAGCAGTCTTACATTACTTAATGTTCCTTTAATGCCTTTGCTGGCAAAATGACAACACATTTATAACAATAAACTGGATGATAATGTGATGAAGGTAAAATCCAATGTCTCCAAGACGTAAACTGATTTTATTCAATATATAAATCTTAGAGAAGTGTCACACTGAGCTTTCGTCTGCTGATGGAATCCTTAAATGAACTGTCAGTGTTATTTTATACCTGGATTGAATTCCCCTTCCCGCGTTAAGTGCTTCTTTTGGCCCTCTGCTAATTGAAATCTGTTAAAACTCTCATGTGAGTTCAAAAACCCACATTTAGAAAAAAAGCAACAACACATTTCCTTTGTCCGGCAACACCGGGGTTTGTTTCCAAGAAAGTGCACTTTGACTTCGTCCCCGAGGTGTTTAAATGTCCGAACGGCAATCAGCATCAGTTTAAAACACACTCAGAACGGCGGAGATAAGTGCTCTGTAATGGCCGGTAAACTTTTCCCAAAGGGAGACTACTAATGTACTAATGCACTGAGGATGACCCCGAAACACTGATTCATCCATCTCCTTCGCTCACAGCTGGGCGGACACACTCGCACACTTAAGTGTACGAGCCCAAAGCAAAAAAAATAAAAATCAATACTTGTTGACCAGACGCTTGCTGGCTCCTCTCTGTGTGCCTCCTTCTCTTATCATCTCTCTTCTCTGTTCACTTTCTCTCCCCGGTTTCATCTTTAACTTTCACCTTTCCTCACAGGTTTTACCCTCTTTTCTACTTTCCTTTCCTTGTCCCCGTTTTTAAAGGGATTCGTGTCACGTACTTGGCAGAGGAAATGACGTCGCTGTGTTTGTCCGAGTCCAGGATCTTGGCAAGGTGGGAGGCCACGGAGTCTGCATACTGAGTGATGTGGACCTGAAACACAGAGAAAGACTTCAGTTGAACAGAGGCAGTGTTTTCCCTCCACAGCAGCAACCGTCATTAGCTGGATTTTACATTTTGTTGACGTGCATTTTTATGGCAATGTGATTTAATTTGTAGTTTTACAATCAAACCAAACTGTGAACACATTGTTAAATAAAAATATTTCTGAAGAAAGTCTGAGCGTGCAATTGCAGCTTCTGCGGTACACATACTCCTACAAGATGGTATTATTTGTGTAAGTGCATTTTATTTTGAAAAGCCAGCATATATCACAAACAAGAGTGTTTTTGTGGGCTATTAAACTGAGCTGCTAATTAAGCTGTGGTGAAAAAATAAATCAAAAATATTCACAAAATTCTGCCACCAGAGCAGAGAACGTTTGGCAAATCTGACAAGCTAAACTCCACGGCGCTAACATATGCCCTATTTATTTAGAGCTGGCAGGGAAGCAGTGCCTTGCTCAAGGGTGTGAACGTGTAGCAGATGTTTGCAGCTTGTGTTGCTGAACGGCGGGTAGTTTTGGCTCTCGCTCATTTATGTTCAAAATATTACAGAGACCCTTTCTGCTGCAAACAATGTCTAAATATATAACAAGCCGGCTGGAAAAAACACACATTCTCAGGAAGCCCTGCAGCGAAGTGATTCGGGAAATGTTCTCTGATGAGGTCTGATAAGCTGCACCGGCTGCTTTATCAAATTAACAGACCATCGCATTTTAGCTATGTTGTAGGAACTATTCTGATCCTTTAGTGAAATAAAAGCACCATCACCCTCATTTAAAATACACCAATATGACTTAAAAACCTGCATGTGTTGGTCAAATATTATCAAATGTACTTAAGATGTCAAAATAAAAGCAGAATTTATCATAAAATGGCACATTTCATGAATATAATATTGAATATGACAATATTGGACATTACTACATGTAAGCAGTATTGTTCTACCTTATTTACAGGTACATAGACGAGAACTGCAGCTAATCAATCACTGCCGCATCATCTCTGTATGATCTGGATTGTTTATGTTTTGCTCAATTACAAACTAGTAAAATTATACAAATTTTAAACTGATCGAGCAAGTTGTACCACAAAAACACAAATATGGAGAGTTCCGAAGCTTCAAAATGGTTCTCCAACCGTCTCTTAGTCCAGCATCGATCAGCCAATCACCTGTCAGTCACTGGTTGCTATGGCGATTCCTCCGCCTTTCGACAGGCAGACTAAAGATTCACCCCTCAAATCACAGATGGTCACAGTTCAAAAACTATAAGTCATCTAGAAATATTTCTTCCACCGTGTAGAGCACAATCTCGTTTAAAACAAGCTGATGAATTACAGATTTGGAGGCTGGTTAGAGAAACTCACCGCTTCTGATTTTCAACCGAGCACAGATATAATGGGAGTCAGTTAGAGTTTAGGTGGGCACACTCTGTACTCGGAGGTAATTTAGGAAAACAACACAAGTCCTGAAGCAATGACACTCACACCGGGTGAAAGAGGACATTTTTATGCATAAATGGTTCATGCAGAGGGAGAAGGAGACAAGGTTACCTGCACTTTTTTTGAAAAACTGAAATTCATAAAACTTAAACTGCGACTGTGTAAAAACCATAAAAGTTGTAAAAACATGGATTTAGAACAGTGATATTGAAAGCCTTGTGACCAATTTAAACTTTCTTCTACTGTGAAATGTGCCGGACCTACAGGGTTCCAAAGACGTTTTGGTTTTGGTAGTCGTCTGGCCAACTTTTAACGCAGTTCCTTACTCATTTCATAAAAAACCGTATGACGAACAGCTACCATTACATTACTCCTGATCAAGCTGCACATATCCATGTATAACTTGTATGGGTTTTCCCAAAACTGAGGGATGAGTTAAGACCCAAAAATTGCGTCAAAAGAATCTATAACAAGAATAATGCTGAGCAATAACAGTAAGTGTGTCTCAATGCTTCTGCATTGGCACACTTAATAAAAGCTCAGTATTAAAAAGTCGAATGTGTGCAGGAGAAAATGGTCTCTGAGCAGCCAGCTGAGCTGTAATACATCGGTGTTTAATCTGGAAACCAGAAGCTATGTAGAGAAAAGACTTTTACATTTATATAACCCAGAGGAAATAAGACAATTAAATGTTCTTTTATTTTTTTATAACAGATTAAAAGTCTTCTAAAATAAATCACTGTCTACTTGAGAGCCCTCATCATGATTTAAACTGTTGTTTCTCCTCAAACTATTTTATTTGAATATGTTTTAAAGGCTCAAATCTTTAAAAGCATCCAGTTTTTCACATGCAGGAAGCAAAATAAAAGTATTATTTTGTGTAGCAGATGTACATCTCGCCTTCTTTCCTATTCTTCTTAAAAGTTACTTGTTAGAAGATTTCAGTAAACCATTTTCCCTTTTTTTGCAAAAACAATACTTGAAATAATCCCAAGAGGGGAGAAATTATAGCATTTAAAAAAATGATTTATAAATGTGGTGCAACAGTAGGTGGCCTTTGTCTTCTGAGATAATGCCACACCTGTCAGAAGGTCAATAACTTCATCTGGAGATTCAAGAAATGCTATTAAATTCTATAAACGCTTTGCAACGTGTAACCCTGTAAGTGTCTATTATTATTATTGTCATTATTTAGGACAAGAAAACACCCACAATGTCCACGTTCTGCTCTTGTTAAGGTTTGTCAAGCCTCGAAAAACTTTTCCAACTGGAACCAGTAACACCATCTTTTGGAGAAGTAACCAAAATTGTAAAACAAAACACACGTATGACTCAGAGGTGAGAATTGGATTATGCGGCTGAAGACTCATTGTGATTTTCACATGTTTAACTACCTTCGACAGCACATTTGGAAGCTGAGATGCAGAGCTCAGCTGGAAATCAAAACACAGAGCTGTCCTTCGTCGATATCTACACCGCTCCCCGTGGTGGAGGTCTGATTGCTTTGGCTTCCACCTGCCAGGTTCAATTGATTCTCAGTGGATGTTTTCCAAAATAATTTCTTGGAGCTTGTACGCTTTGGCTTTTATGGATACCATCTGTCGTAGGGCACAAGGCCTCCTGAAAGTTATGCAGGGTAATTTACCTGCAGAGGAGAATCAAGGCTGTCATCTTCCTTCACGATCGGCGTGTGTTTATTGGTGGTGGGAACCTCGTAAGTCATCACGCTCCATCTGGAACACACGTCGGTAAAAAGTTTATTAGCAGCTAATCAGATTGAGACAAGACACTGGAGGCAGGGAATCGAAGCGCCGTCCTTCTATCTGTGATTTCACTGAAGATAAGAGATCCACAAAAAGTCACCTGTAGTTCAAGGTAAAGAGAAGCAGCAGCAGCAGCAGCACACAGATGAGCTTTATCAAACATTTTCTCTATTAGCTGCTCCTAACAGTGCTACCGTGGGGTTTGGATGCGTCTGATTTCATTTACTTGCGTGAACAAACAAACACAGCAGCAACAGATGTAATTCAGGGAGTAATTTTATGCTTTACTGCAAAAACTGTCCGTCTCATTAATATATTCTTATAATAACAGTGATGATCTATAATGACGTCTAACTTTCTCCTTCTGACAGCATCTTGGAGGATAAATGGCCACAAATGGCATTTTCAAGTGTCCCACGTTAAAATGTAATACTCAGTGACTTACTACTGTGGCATTTTTGGACCTCAAACACGTGTCTGAATCAGTAATTAATCATCCATATATATTTTGGCAGAACATGGAAGATGACGAAGCCTATCATGGGAAGCTGATGACGTATATTTTTACAGCACAACGTACTTTCCTGATGTGTTACACACACAGTCAGGTATGTACAGCATGTTCCATCGCCGTCACATTCCAATATGGGTTCGACTTTTACTGGACGACAATAAAACACACTACGAAACAAAGTCTTAACAGGCTTTGTCATAACCGAGTCTATATACCTGCATTTAACATTCCAGCTGCCTTCACTGGTATTTTAAACATGATTACTTAAACACCAATTTTACAACTGTATTGTACTACATGATTCAAATACCTGAAGATAAACACTGTGTACTTGAATCACATAATGACAGGTAGAGGGTAAAGCTTGAATTGAACTTTTAATTGATCTCATTTAAATAAAGCTTATTTAGTTATATAGCACATTTAAAACAACCCGAGTTGACCTATTTGCGGCACATATTAACAGTCAGGCAGCAACAAAGTCAGTGCAAAAGCAATAAATTTGTGAAAGACGGTAAAATACTATGGAAGATTAAAACAAGGCCAACAGGACAACAAGCGGTGAGATCAAACTTTAGGATAAAATAAATATAAATTAATAAAATTTACTAAAAATTAGGACCCCTAAGAGCTGCCAAAAGCCATGATAAACATGTACGTTGAGGGATTTTTCCTAAAAATTTCAACAAAAGAGGAACTTTTTATTCCAAAACTAAGGCTCATTCACCACCAGCCTTGACTGAAGAACAGTTAAAAGCAGCTGTTATGAAATGCTGTGAGGCTTTAAGGTTCACAGGTTCAATCAACACTGCTCCTAATTTAATAAAAATACATACAAATTCTGTGAAACTAAAATGACTCCTGCTCGATTGTGAGTTTGTCCACACAAACATCCGTCCACAGTGACCTTCAGTCTATTATACAACTAAGCTGCTTCATTTTGCACCTGTAACTGCTCTTTTAATTCAAACTGAAAAAGCAGATTATTACAATTCCAAACGTATCTCGTCTACACCACTGAAGGCTTTGTTGCATTTCCAATTCTTAATTTTCCACTCTTTTTCCATTGCACAAGAACAGCAGAACAGGGGAACGAGCCATTTCTAATTATCTACCAGCTGTGCTCCCAGTAGACCAACAAAGTGCAAAATCCCCTTTTAAATATATCAATAAACACTACTCATACTCGGATTTAGAAATATTTATTTTATATTACGCTGTTATTTGCACTATCCCACGACATGTATGTATTTGCATTATTTACTATTTTTACATCTAGACTTGCACTGTGTTTTTAATGTGCATTTTTATATTCTGTGCTTGCACTATTCTTTTTTTTAATGTTTCTTTCTATACTTACGTTTGCACTGTTGTCTATACGTACATTTTTCTGTCTGGTATGTGTGTATCTGTGTGTACTGCTGCTGACAACACTGGATTTCTCCACTGTGAGATGGATAAAGGCATGTCTTATCGTGCTAGATTAAAAAATAAGAGAGCTGGTTGCATTTAGTTCCAGGTAAGATCACACACTATGAACTTTACATACTCAGTCCATTTGTTCCAGATCTGATTGAACTCTTTCTGTAGTTGTGACCATATTTTCCACCTCTTAATTAAACTGAATATGTCATTTATATTGAGTGAAATCATTTTTTAAAATATCTATCTTGCATCTGAGTGATTCTCCCTTCAAGGACCCTCATAAACCCGCAAGAACCAACAGAATGAACCAGTGCACAGTGAACTAACATCACACTGTTTACCTCACCCCCCTAACACGGACAGTCAGTGAGAGTCCCAACGTTGGGGTCAATCAACTGGCTTGTCCTCTAGCTTTCACGTGTAGCATTAGCATCTCCGTCACGACGTTTAAACTCGCTTTCTCAATTCGCCCTTCCACTCTGGTATTCACCTTCAAAATCTCTCCTTTGATTGCCTCTAATTGCTCTTTGTTTTCTTGGCGAAACCGTCGGAGAATCACTTTCACTTCGCCCACTTTCTCCTCCCGGTCTGCTGCTAGTTAGCATTAGCCGCTAACTGTTCGCGTTGCTTCGATTTTCTCGCTCATCTCTACCGGTTTTTACTTATCGGTGTCTTGGTAGACTTCGCGGCCCCCTTCCTTAGGTCTTTTACTCTCGGATTTCTTCACTTTGTACTATTTTTTTTTTCTTTTTCTAAAAACTTCGGTTGTGTCGGAGCTTCCTCGACCCGGCGCCATTTTGTTCTGACCGGAAGTCACCTTTAACCTTGTTAATCCGTCCCAGACGTATAAACAGAAATTAATAGCCTGTGGTACTTTTATTCAATTATCTTTATTGTTTTTACTGCCGCTTGCTCCAGTCTGCTGCCCTTTAAATAGCTATGAAAATTGAAATTGGACCAGATATATTTGTTATTAATTCCTTCATTAGAAATTCCCACCTCAACACCCAGAATAAATTTCTCTCCATCACTGGGCCAAAACAGACACTAGAATTTATAGCTAAAAGCATTTTGGTGTTCAGTTCAGCCAGCAGAAACAACATGACAGGAAACAAAAGCAGCCAGAGGAAACAGGCTTAACACTGAGCTTTGCCCGACACGTCGTCCACCTCGTTACCCTCAGCTCTTACCGGTCCAGCATCTTGGTGGTGGCTCTCTCCAGCTTCTCCAGGATCTGCAGCAGCTGAGCGTCATCGTCGCAGAGGCCTCCCCAGCCCAGCACACGAGCCAGGTCGTTCCCGGTGCCCAGAGGCAGCACGCCGAGCTGGCACTGCAGAGATACGGTCAAATCAGAGACGGTGTCGGTTAAACATGTTCTACGAGGCACAGTCTACATTCAGGGATTACTCCAAGAACAACGTATTGTATTATAGTTTTTAGTTCTTAACTAGACCAAGATGAGCTCACACTCCACCACTTTGTGCTGCACAGACAGAAGTCAGCTAATAAGCTACAGCTGACCCTGGTGTTAAATGGTTAATCTGGATCGAAACTGATTCGACGTGGAACTTATTTTTCCAAATTGAATATTAATTAAAGATAAAAACCATGACTATCTAGCATGGCACTCATTTATGTAGATTAATTTCACAACGTTAATGAATTAGTTCAGGTAATCAGAGTAGCGTTGCTGTTTAAAGCATCACCATCCGGACATTATCTGGAAACTCACACCTCTGACATCCTTCTCTTGTCTCTCCTGTGAACTATTTTCTTTCTGGTCTGAGTACAAAGTCAGTCTTATTCATTTGATGCTTTATATTTTGCACTTTTAGATTTGAGGACAGCAGACAGCTACAAAACCCCGGCGAACACAGGTAGAAAATGAAAATATTCAGTGTTTCTTCCAAATGTAATTCTCAGTAACAGCTGGATGTTTGCATGATTTTAGCGCCGCAGGTGACTCGATGTTTTCTGTGGCCCAACAGCATTCACCGCTGTTACCTTCCACATCAGGATTATATCATCATCCCCTCCTCCTCCTCCTCGTCCACCTCGTCGTCCTCACCTGTTTATGGAGGTTGAGTTTATCCAGCTCCGAGAGCACCCAGCCCACGCTGCCATCTCCTCCACACACCAGAATACGGAACGTCACAAACTTCTGGAAAAGGCGAAGGCTGAGGGAGGAGAGAGTGGGATGGGACGAGGAGGACGCAAAGCACCAAATATTAAAGGTAGATGTCACAGAAAGGCTGCAAAAATAAACTTTTAGTACGTGCATTAAAACTGGTGAACCTGAAAATGCTCACGATCAAGGCTATGATTCAACTTTAATTACTTAACATTTAAAACTGAATCACTGGTTCCACAATCAGCAGGATGCTCTCTTTTTTTTTTTTTTCAAGCTACTACAATGATTTAGACTCACGTACCCGAGCTCTGGTCCTCCGTTCATCAGGTCAAAGACTTGAGCTGGGTTGAGAAGCTGCTTGAACTTGCGGAGGAACTTGACCCCCTGGTTGTCCCCACTTTTGGAGTTGACGAGGACCAGCAGAGGGCTGGAGCACGACGCTGAGGTGGCCTTCCAGAAGCCTGAAAGGAAGGATTTGTAAATTTTACAAAAAAACTGAAAATCTTTCAGAATAAAGCTCAAATGCTGTGGTTCATGTGATGGATCCTGAAGAATGCTAGATAACTTGGACGGTGGCAAAACTGTTGAGTTCTGAAGAGAATTTTTAGAATTTTTATATAGAAAAAAGGGAGATTCTGCATAAAATTTGACAAATATGTTGACATCTTCTCATATCATCAATTGAACGCAAAAATGTGTTTTCTACATTGTCCAGGTGAGGAATCAAGCTTGGATTTACCAGCTGTTACTGTCAGTAGAAGAAGTCAAGGGTCAGTTTCACACTCTGCATCTAAAGGACGTACATGGACGTACACGACCGGATCCCCCTGAACTCCGACCCCGCTGTTCACCGCTATGAACAAAAGGCCTGTGTGTGCTTGTGTTCGTGCGCGTAGATGTGTGTGTTTGTAAGAGGTGTCTCACCATCTGAGTCGATGCTGTTAAGTGCAGTAGGAGGGATGATTGACACTCGACATTGACCCAAAGGACACACCTTCCCCATTTGTTCTTTACAGCTGTTGTGGACCTGCAAGTGCGCACACACACAAAGTCAGTGGTCTCCATAGTAATTCTATATTTCTGTAGAAGCAGAAAGGTCATTACATCCCTCTGAAACCCACCAAATGCCAGTTCTGTAACCTTTACAAATGCCACTCTAATTCATTGGTGCGTGTACCTGTGTGTGTGTGTGTGTGTACCGGGTATAAGACTTTGCATTATGTGCATCCATTTGCCCTAAACACTCAAGAACAATGCAGTCTTTGCTAAGTGGAACAGAGGGAAAGAATAAGGTTACATCTCTCTAACTGTGTGTTTGGGTTTGTCTCTTAAAGGACAATTTCACTGCACTTTTCTGCTTCATTACTTCCAATCATAATTGTTCCACAGATGCCAGATGTCAAAATTCTTTCTTTAACAGCATAAATCAAATATTTTGAGACAAATGCTGTCTTGTGTACTCCTTGACAAGTAAAGGGCATCTCTTTCAGACTGTCTGGCTTCATGCCTCGTTATCTTTTTGTGCAAACTGGATGAAAATGACAACAGGAATCCACAGTGTGGGGCAACCTGAGTAGTCAGGGCGGATATCACGAGTTCTCTTTCCTACATTAGTCTTCTACCTCAACCTCTACTATCAAATAGAGGCAAAATACAAAAAAAAGAGAATCTAAAATGCAAAGGCAGCATGAAGAGCTACAAAGAAAAAAGCATCTAACACGGCATACATTTATTTTAAAGGCATTGTGAGCAAACAGTTGCCTGTTCAGACATCAAGCTGACATTAGGCAACGTCATCGTTCTTCACTTGGAGTCATGTTTTCTGTGCATCTGATGAACTCAAGTCCAGTATTCGCTCTCATTTTTGCTCTGTTCCGGTCTCCACCAGAAATAACGGGCTCTTGAGCTGCTAAATGCTCCACTAGAGTCACCTGGTGGCAGCTAAATGGGAAGTTTCTCTGAGAGCTATCAGACTGTTGGCTGCAAAACTAAAACAACAAACTGAAAGACACTAAATGCTTCACAGAGCCAAGACAGACTGCAGAACTGTAACTCTCTGTGCGACTGTAGTTAAAACTTTCACATTAAAAATGAATCCATTGTTAATATAAAGATATTCTGACAGGCAGTTTTACATTTAAATGGAAACCTTAAATCCCACTGGACTGTGGTTTAAAGTAATTGTTGTTGTTGTTGGTCCTGTGATATTGTCCTAAAATGTGCTTTTGCTCTTTTCTTTACATGATTAATTATCAACCTGTCGAGGCCATAACAAATATCATTTATATCCTTCCACAGACAAATGATTGTCCTCGAGCCGCTCAGAGCATCAGGTCAGTTTCAGTAACCCTGGAGCTGACAGGTATTCATCAGCCCCCTTTCATTTCTCATTTCAACCTATTCTTCTTCCCCTCTGGGCCCTCTGCTGCCATCCTAAGTGCATCCCATTACTCTGATGACTCCAGTGGCCTGTTCAGACCTTGACACTTTGAGGGGTAAAGGAGGCAAACAATGAACAGTTGGTGGCACATCTCACTGTCCTGAGCATAAATCAACACGAACAGATAAATAAATAAAAGGAGAATTTTAATCTCAGTAAGGAATTAATTAGCTTTGCTCTGAAGAGTCACTTAAACTTGTGATTCATGCCTCTATGGATAAAAAGACATGCACTGTATTCATCTCAAACTCTATTTCGCGCTTGTTTTGAAGACAGAAACACACAATTTCCTCAAAGATCCTGAATAGCTGCTTTGTATTAGGACAACTGCTTCAAGTTTGGATCCAAATTTGAGAAATTTAGATCAAAATTTTGGCTCCCAGAAGGCATGTGTTGTTCTTCCCGCCAGAAAAATAATGAATTTGGACAGCATGATCAAACTGGACCGGCGCTGACTCCATTACCATGGATATTGGTCCGTTTTTACCACTGATGATGATATGATGAGGTTGGATTTCAAAGTTTCTATAAAAACCGAAACTGAAAATAACTCCCAGCTGGCAGCGATGTCCTATTTGAACTCTGACATTGATCTGACACGGCAGGTTTTGACGGGGTAGAGGCTAAAATCAATCCTGCTTACGATGGCCTTGCACCAAAGGCAGCGCCAGTCCTGCAGCCGCCGCACGCTGCCACAGTTCTTATCACACACCACACATTTGGCACTGACGGGCAGGTTGCCTTCCAGCCACTGGTGGGGCATGGACACCTGAAGAAATGTGGAGAAAACACAGAACATGAGATGGCAATCGCAGCTAACCGAGGCTCTTTAGCTTCAAAGACATCAATGCCACGTTATGCAAGTCTTATATAACACCTATTATAATCTGCCTCTTCCATCTTTGGTATCTTACTTTTATCACACTCATTTAAACGATATCTCAGAATTGCAGGTTAAACTGATTGACATGCAGGAGGTGACGGTGTTGCCCAACAGTGAGTCAGGAGGAGACAGCACGTCAAACAGGCTGCGTGTACGTTTGTTAAAAGACGCATCATAGCGTGATCGCTCACCCCTTCCTCATCCTCAATGATGTCATTTCCTATGGAAGCCAGCGTGGTCCACTTGCAGTTGTTGGTGGAGCGAACTGCACAGCGCTTGTGAGCCTTGAACTTACAAACTGCAGAGGACAGAATTCAAAATCACAATGTTGAGAAAATGAAATCATTTTTAAGATCCAGCATGTGGTGCTGAGGATTTTCTTACACATTTTAACACTTTAGTTCGGTGCAATGTGACATGAAAGACAGGACTTTAAAGATGGACTCTGTGTGTGACTATATGTACAAGACAGTCGCTTTCAGAAATGCACTCCTTTCCATTAATCTGACGGCGCCTGAATGTGTCAGCCTCATGTCTAAACGTGCACTCTGGGCCCAAGGGCTGATGTGACGCTGTGGTATAGCGTGAGACTGTTTACATGCTAACCAGGGAGCAGGTAGCACACACGGTTTTCCCTTCGTATGTAAATGTGCTCATGGCTTCTAAATGCCATGAGCACATTTACATACAAATGGAATATGCTTTTAAATATAACATTCCTTGAACAAGAGCATCATCTTTGGTTTATTTGCATCAAAAGTCTTCAGACAATTTATTTACATTTCCCTATTACAATGTTTGTTTCAGTGTTGGAAGCAGCATTCACAGTTTATCAGTCTATATGAACCTTTGCCAGTGTAGATTTCTGGCTGGACACCAAATCAAGATGTTGCTTAAACATCTACGACCTCGATGAGCTGCACGGCATCGAAATAAAAGGATATGACAAATCAAGAATAAATACAGAACAACCGCGTTTACTGATAAACTTTAAAGAGCTTTCATTGGCAGTAACGTTTATCGGTAACCTCTCTATACACCCTGTTCTGCTGTATTCAGATTTACACTGCTGATATGATAGGGTTGAGGAAATGGTTTTGCATAACTACTTCCACAGTGTCAGTGTGTCAAACCTGTAATGAAAGCTGCCACACCTGGTAACACAGAGCTGTAAACCTATTTTCTTCCCTGCCAAGGCTGCATTCCAAGAGGAGACAGTGATAATTTGTCATGTGGTTTTGAGATGCTCCAATTTCAGGCTCACTTCTGTCCTGTCCATTACAAATTCATAGTTGATGAGCTCAGACTGTACATGTGTAGCACTCATGTGTGGAGGTACCTTCGCAGGACAAGCCGTGGGAGGTGACGCCTGGCAGCGCCTCTCGGCAGACGTTGCAGAAGGTCGGTCTGGCGTGTGAGCAGGCGTACCAGTTGTGCATCCCAGAGAAATGCTCCATGTTGAACTGACTGGCCTGAGGAAGGAGAAATATGGGCGGAAAGGACAACAACATGAGCGCTCTGCTTCGGAGGTGGAAGCACTGGAGGACAAAACAAGAGCACATCAGAGTAACCTGTGGGAGGAGAAAGTTGGCAGGATGAGACTTTTTACATTTTGTGCTGAACTCAACAGCCAGAGGAAGCACGAATACCAGGATGAGATAATGACACCGGAGGTACATACTAAACTCTGCAGCCTTCTTGAACATACAAGTTTAGGCTGTAATATTGACACTAGAGCTGACCATGCATGAGATAAACAATGCTCTAGATTCACTTTTCCTTCAGGTACCTGAAGCTTTTCACTGCACCATTTGGCACCAAATTATACGTTATGCCACCTTTTCTTTGTCAGTTCTCACATACTTTGGTCATTTCGTGACAACTTATGTAAATGATTGTAAACAGAAATGAAGGTGGAGATAAATGTATTTTATATTTCCAAGTTAGTCACAGGCAGCTGTTCTTTGACTTCACTATCAGGAGTGTTACGTTTTATGACCGTTTCTGACTCCTCACTGCTTCGGTTTGACGCTACCTCACAGCGCCGGACGAGTTTCTTGAGACTTTGTGCTTTTTGACGGTTTGACAGCAGGAGCGCTGCTCCCAGCTATGCTCTGGCTGCACTCTTTGCCATAAATGGAATGCATAAAGTCGGATGTTTTATCATATTTCAGTGTTCCCTGCAGGCTGAGAATCTACCTTCGGGATTGGGTGGTGCACGCAGAGAGAGTTTGTTCTCTGAAGCTATAATTTACAGGTGCCCACTAAATGCCTCATATGCAGACTATCGGCAGACGTTACAATTTACAGATGATCCCTAAATGCCTCACATGCATCGGTAGACAGAACGAGGCAGCTGGAAACCTCTAGTCTCCACACACAGCGCACTGGGAGAGGTGTGTGACTAAAAACGAGAAGAGTGAAATAAAGCATTCTAATGTCAGATTCAAACAAGCTGGTGGGACAAGACTGTGACACGAGTGCAGTCAAACCAGACTCCCTTTAGAAAAGAAACTTTGTGTGACTCTTCATGAAGTTCGGTAATGCTTATGAACTTGCAGCTGCAGTTTTACAATCATATGAACAGGGAATAACTAGGGATAAGAAAATGACAAAAACTAAAACCTTAAATGGCGCTCTTGTAAGAGGCGAGGGACACTGAAAGCTGAACACCTGAGAGAATTTAAGCTCAGCTTGGATTGCAGCTTAGTTCTCTTTATAGCCTATTAAAGCAAAGGCAATGATTTTAAGAGCGACATCAATCTGCTGGCAAAAAGCTGAAATGAGATAAGAGGAAAGGAAAAGAGTGAAGGGACGGGGAGGTGGAAGACACAGAAGGAGGAGATTATTTCTGCCAAAAAAACAGAAGACAAGGTGGATCATTTATGCACAGAACAGATGGATAAAGAATCGAAGCGTGAAGCCTGTTCTCGTCGAAATAAATTAACTGCTTATGACGAGCTTTTATCAAATGATCATCAATTTGTTCAAGGTTATTCCAATGCCAGCCAACAGAACAACCAGTGACGCTAAAACAGAAAAAAAAGAGACCGACGGAGAGGGGAGGACACTAACCTCGTAGGTTTCCCATTTTTGGACGGATTTGAGAGCAGTGATCCAGTCTTCCATTTCCTTCCTGCTCTCGGCACATAACATCAACTTGCGAAATGGAGTGATCACCTGTGAACGAGAGAATGAAAGCCTTAGAGGGTAGCAGGGGTTTCTTTTGAAATTTGCAGCAAAAAGAGGCCACAAAGTAAGCAGAGAAGTATTGAAATTTTAAATCAATATTGTATCACATCACTACTGCATTAAAACAAGAGGACTCAGTCACGCTAGCAGCTCGGTGACGATCCACTTGTACACAACTGTGAGTTAAATGCTAACACACGGAGGTTCAACACTTTGATTTATCAGCATGGTGTCATTAGCTGCTGAGTATTGAGCTGCAAACAGACAGAAAAATAAACCCAACGTGGAAGTGCCAAAACTGCAGTTCCTCGAATGGCCACTTGAGGCGGGTTTCAGATGGGAGTCGATCCCAGTTGACCCCCATGTTAACATGTTCAACCTTACCGCTTAAATAAACACAGGCTGGTATGCTTTTGGTCTCTACAGTTAATTTCTGTGTTTATGTCACAGGGGGGAATTTTTGAATCCATTAAAATAGTACTAAGGCTTAAAATTATGCATAATCATGACAGTCCGTTGGGCCCAGAGCAATCTGCATATCTCAACTCCGCTCCATAAGTTTGTCCAATATGTGGTCAAAATAAGCTTTTTTTGACCTGACAATGCATTTAAAGTTAAGGGATCAATAAACATCTCTTAATGTGCACCTAAAAAGTAGGATATTTAAGTCTGGGCCACAGTTCTGGACCAATATTTTCCACCACAGACAAAAGCCGTTAGCACAGCCAAAAATCAGCAGCCATCTGGTTCTGAACTAACTCAAGTCTTTTAAGCTAAAAAAAAAATGATATCAACCATTTTGTCCTTGAAAACAAAGCCAAATGTACAGTTTTGAAATGCGTCCATTAACACGTTCTTGACTCACTGTGAAGCTGTTGTTGATGTTCTTGGTGCTGGTCTCAGCCACACTGGCATCTGAAAGGTCCACTTCATCGAAAATCAGGGACTGATGGGTGGAAAAAAAAGAGCCAATGCATCAATTAGCTCATCTTTTTTGCGCCGTATCCAGTTTGATCAGCCACACTTTGACAGCTCTCAGTCACATAAAACCATTCGACAATGTTATTCAGTAGCAAAGTTAATACGTTTGCTGCGGGGATGGTTACAGCTGGTAATTCTGGTTTCACAGCTCAGTGAATTGCACTTCTATTTCTTACAGACGGCAAAAACATTTTGTCCATACATAGACGTAACAAACTCAAAATCTAATCGGATGAATGTGTTTCTGTTCCAGACATTCTAGTTATCAAAAAAATTATTCAAAATATCGTTTTACTGATTTGAATCTTAAAATATTCAGTGAAATAAACTTGAAGGAAAGTTTCTATGTCCTTCATGGCCAGATAGCTGCTGGAACTTTACTATCTCATAGTATAATATACAGTCTTTAAGAAGAAAACTTTAATTAAATTCCACATTAGGTTTTAGGTTAGGGAAAAGTGATGCATGCAGTAATGCAGCTGTGGGCCTCACAGGGTTAAAGCTGCTGTATTCAGCCTCACACATGTCTGTACCTTGCAGTCTTTGGCATAGTAGAGGGTCCTCCCTCTGAGTTTGAAGTACCTCCTCTTCCATCTCTGGAAGGAGCTGGTCTGCTTTAACAGGATTCCCTCTTTCACGCTTTTCTATAGTGAGAGTCCAGAGAGAGGGCAAAAGGGGGAAGGAACAGAAGGAGAGGAGAGGGAGATAAAACAGACGTTAGCGCATCCAAATCCTCTGAAAAACGAACGTGACAGCTACTCTTCTCGGAGTTCACACGTAAACAGACGGAGATCAGTTTGGATAATGTCACCAGGACAGCTTTCTTTTGTCAAACACACAACAGAGGCGGGTTGAACGCTGCGCAGACGAGCAGAGAGGTGTAAATCTGTCAAGATAATAGACAAGAACACATGCATTACCTCAAAGGACGCGTTTACAAGCACCTTTCATTTACTAATTTATGATCAGATGTGGGAAAGTTGTCGGGCCTCTGGAAATATTTACCCTCATGTTTCTAAGAATAGCACCCGCATCTGGTTAAATAAGGAAACGAGGAAGTGGAGTCGGCTATTGAAGCGTGTCAGTATGCAGCGCTCATGGCAGAGTTAATTCTACAGTAATACCACACTGATGAGGTGATGCACCAAGTCGAACGCGCAGCCATCCGTGGCCACGCAGAAATTATTAACACGGCCAGAACACATGATTTAATTTGATACCGCGGATTTGCTCGCCGCCGATCCTACTGCGGTGGCGGTTATTGTCCTTTATCCACATCTGCTTATCCTGCACTCATTCTCTCTCCCTCTATTTATGAGTACATGCCCTGAGAGGACAGAATGCACCATGGGTAATCAATTTGAGATAGGACATCGGGGGTCGCCATGGAGATCCTCATTTCTCGTAATAGACGCTGGTGCAGGCGCGCACACGCACACACACACACACAGATACCATCTTAAAACTCTCCTCACGCTACCGATGGCTCCCTCCATACCGTCACGTTTATCATGTGGCAACATTCCTGCAACCTGTCGATCAGCCTCCGCGACAAGCCTGCGACTCTGCCTCGCAGATAGAAACCATGTGGCTGCATAGTTTCATAGCAGGAGCCACAGCTAGCCACTAATTAGAGGTTTTCACATGTAGAATAATTATAAAACGGGAAGGAATTAATGAAAGACTTTGTGTAGCAACATCCAATATACATCCTTAAAACTGCTGAAGGCTTCTATTGGGAGCTTTTCCTTCATAAAAAAAAACAAAACAAAATCAACTGATCATGAGAGAAATAACTAGGCAACATCCGAAAATGTGTCCTGAATTATTATATACAACTGAAAATGACTAATCATGCGGCTCTATTAGAGGCCCCCAGGACAAATGACTGTGCTGCAATCATAAAGCATGATTCAGGTTGTCTAATCAGCACAGTCATAATACTCTTTACGTCATCTGTAACGTATATTCTTGCACAACAAGTGCCACGACTACAACCGGGCCAACATAAACCGGGTTGTAAAGTAGGCAGACGTGCGTTTAAGGTCATTCTATTCTGCACGAGGAAGCCTCCCAGAGATTACAGAATTAGCTCAGCTTTAAATGTGTCACTGGCTGATTAAAATAATGGCTGCAAGTCTAACTTTCTCTAAATCGGCTGCTGGTTTTACATGCCCTCGCAGGAAAATCAAATTACGAGCAATCACGAGTAAACTGACTGCGTGATTTTTGGTTTGTTTTCCATTAGATCTCACAGAACAATAGACAAATCCTCACATAATTAACACTAAAAGCTGTGAGCATTAAAAAGCACAGGGGCTGGGTTTTTACCAACATATAACACAAATGTGCCAACACAAACTGATACGACAGAGGAGCACTAAAATGGAAGAGCGAGAGCTGGAGAGGATATTGTTTTTGTTATCTCCAGATCACTAACTGCACCAGAACAAACAAACACAAAAACACAGGACAGGACAGGCAATGACAAAAGACTTGCCATGACAAGGATATGCTATTTTTCTAGTATAAACTGCTTAACTTCTCCAGCCCAAACCTGCCCGAGAGCAGTTGGCTCAGCAGGAACTTGGCAGGATCTCCAGATCGGAGCACGATTCAAATATCTGCCCCGAAGGCGAATTCAAGACACAGACAGGAGACTGACGGAACACACGACAGCCACCGACAACCCGCAAAGACAAAGGAAAGTGTGAGTGAGTGTCTGTGAGACCAGGAAACAAAACGTATATGCGGGAAGCAAAAAAACAATCTGATAACGGAAATTCTTACGAGCTTGATTTACGTTTAGATTATCAGTCATCCAAAGTAAAAACCAAAAGTTATTCAATACAAGTGACCGTCTTTAAATGCCAACCCGTATGACCTCATGAAAAGTCCATCAAATCCACAGAAGATCTCGAGGCGCTATAGTCGAACTGAATAAAACTGTCTTAAATATTAACACTTTAATAAAAGGTCAACTAAAAGCACTGCACTACGTCATCGTACTGAAACTTTCCCAGAGACAGAATCAGCCACATATGCTGATGTTTGTGTTCTGCTCAGGCTGAAGTTCTGCTTTGCAACTTCATCTGCTGACGGCTGAAGAGAAGCACCTGACTGAGCTTCTACCACATGTTAACGTTGCTATAATTTGAATGATTTTAAGTTACTGTTTGTAAGCAGCTTATTTGGTAGAAGTCAGCATGTGTTGTGTTCGGTAGAGGTGTCGGGATAAGTCTGACTTTGTTAGGGTTAACTTTTAACGTCATCATGCCATGTTTCGTTCACTGCTTTGTAAACAAACTGCTAACTTCAATACAAAAATAACTGTTTTATTTTATTACCTTTTATTAAAACATTTTATGTATTTTTTCAGATGCAGCTTTGTTATTTAACTCACCTGCATTGAGCACTTTAGTTAAAACTTATTAAAACATATCCCACAAGCTAATATTATTTTAAAAGTCTTGCTTTTGCATCAAACTTGGCATGAAAATGTTTTCGTACAACGTGCAGTATTGCAATCTGTTCCAACATTTAATAGCAGAGTTTGACTATCTGGAAATAAAACTACAGCTCAATCAACGATGTCATCTTTACAGTTACAGTGTGATCAGTTCTCTGTAACGCCATCGTGACTGGTCAGAACAATAACTATGATTCAGTCTTGACCAGTAAAAATCATAGTTGCAGATCTCACAGACGTACACATGACCAGTCTGAGCTGCTCATGCGATGTTTCCTGTCGGATATCGGTCCAGGACAGCATTTGAACAGCCTTAGCAGAAGCTGTGGCGGATAAGATCGCGAGAAACTGCTGAGAACAAGAGCTTGGTTCATTAGACTTGTGGTTGAAATTGGCTAAAACTTTGTCCTCCGGCTGCTCTGACATGGAGGTAAACTGGCCTTGTCTGTGTAGGAACAGCTACGGTGTCGTAGTTTGTTTGAGAAGCCTCCTCTGCAGACAACCCAGCGGTAGTTTCTGATGTAATTACAAACATCTGCAGCATCATTTCACCCAGTAGAAACTCCACTTCAAGATATCTGTAATTACATTTCAACCAGCTTGATATAAAAACATCATTCTGAGAGGCTCAAACTGAATTACACAGATCTTACGAGGGACGATGTCGATATCTTGATTCAACGGGAATTGAAGTTATCTTGAACTGAAATTATGATTAGTCAAAATTCAACTGTGGATATCTGAAAATGTAATTACAGCTCATTATTGATTGAGCTGCAGACGCTCGCGATTCCTGCTGTGGCTGTCTGCAGCTGAACGGTAGGTATCTGTAATGAGAAACACATGAATGGGAACAGGGATGCTGTACGTGACACCGGCTTGTGCAGTAGCTAGTTAGTTGGCTAAATATAACTTGTTGTTAGAGCAGCTAGCATGTCTCCAGTGTTCTGTTTAGAGGTGCAAAAAGCACTTCAAGTTGGAAAGAAAGAATGTATTAGAGAAAGACATTTTCAGTGACAGGCCTTGCTGTTGGTGCGACTGTAGGCAGGTTTCTCACATTTCTCTTTTACAGTCTCTCCTGTTCAAGCGCCTCATTTCTGCAGCCTTCTATCTGTCTTTTTCCCATTTGTTTGTCTTTCTCTTTTATTTCTATTTAATATCTCGGTTAAATAACCTCCCTGATATCTCGTCTAATTCGTTTCCCCCCTCCATCGTAGGTGTTTCTGTCTCACTCTCTTTGCAGAATGGCCTTGGCTGCCTGAACACAGGGAATAATACGAGGCAGAGGCGCTGCCCAACCAGTGGTAAATCCAATTCATCGCTCCATCGCAATCTCATTTCTCTCTCGCGCTGTCTGTGTACATGTGCGGCCATGTGATATCCCGCCTTGTGGTGGCACATACAGCTTCTTGTGCTCTCCCACTGCACGTTTCTTTCTCTGAATAAATTTATCTGCTTTCACACCCTGAGGGAGAGAAAATCTCATATTGTCACCATGTTAGAGAGAGAGAAGGAGGAGAGGGAGGAGAAAGAGGAAGGAAAGGGACTGATGACGGGAACAATGATAGATTGGCTCACAGTATGGGTCATTAGCGAGAGGAGATGGGAAGAAGAAACAGAGCTGTGACAGCGGCGACGAGCGCAGAGCGGGGAAGAGAAACAACACAAAACGGTGAGACGCAGGGATTACAACAAACAGGGCCTCTGGAGAGTCGGCATGAAAGGGAAGGAAACTAAAGGACTGGCAGTCCCTAGAGGAGGAGGAAGAAAGAGGAAAACACACAAACAAGAAGGTGTAAAGGTCTCAGTCAGACTCAGCCGCCTGACACGTCGGCGATAACGGCAAGGTGTAGCAACCCCGCTCCACCAATCGAGCTTATCCGTGGTCGCCCCGGCAACGCCAACAGGAGAGCTGTCAGTCACGAAGTTAATCAGAGTGTGTTTGTCTGAGAAAAGCGGCTAATGATACAGCAAACAGTGATGCAGCTGAAGGACGCACAAAGTTAGACCCAACTCTGGGTGCTGCAATCTGGGTGTGAAACCTACAGAGGCTGGCGTCTACATTTTAAGTGGTGTTTCAGCGAAAAGAAAAAAAAAAGGTGCAGATTAAATCCTCCGATGCCGAGCCAGTCAGTGATACATCAAACAGCAGAGAGGAGCCATCTGTCATTTCAT